ATGAGCGCTCAATGTTTATTTTCATTAAACTGATCAAAATATTTCATGAAATTTAAATTAAGATACCCTATGTTAATGATCATTTTCACCCGCGAATTTTAAATTTAAAGTTAAGAGAGTCAATATAACGGTATAGGAACCTTGTGTCTGAATATTTAATGGGGAAGAGGACAAAATTCACAATGAATTAATGGGTAGACCTAGGCATTTTTATATTAGAGTCAAAACGGTTCACAGAGGCCGGGTTTATACCAGAGTTTGCAAGTATTCACCTAAAAAAAGGCTCCTCTTAAGGACTGTTTTCCTAATCTTCAGGAAATAAAATCAGCGTATTTTAATCCCCATCCCTCGTCAAATAGAATTGAGCGCAATTGCAGCCGTATGAAGTTTATATGCCACTTATATATGCATTTAAAAAAATATACATTTCTCTGCCGTTCGCAAATAGCCTATGGGTAAGTGTTTCTGACTGAAGTCAAACCAGTCGAGTTTCGACCCCGGCTTGAAGCAACTGGATATCTAGCCACATTGATGACGTGTAATACAATGGAACTGTCTATCTGTGGATTATACATACACATATAAATATATATATATATATATAAATATATATATATATATATATGTGTGTGTGTGTGTGTGTGTGTGTGTGTGTGTGTGTGTATGTATATATATATATATGGTGGACTTTCCTGTCGTATTCGACGTATGAGTGTCAAGTAACTTAGTTCCTAGAAAGTGACAGTCCAGACATCAGCACATATGATTTGCTTATAGTGGTGAAGGATTCGTGGAGGACCATCCACACTTTTTGAAGGGTCGAATACAAAGACCTGGTGCACTACGTACCACAAAGTTCCCAAACTACCCTCCGCAGCTTTTGAATTCAGAGCTGTCGTTCTCCTAGACCAGTTGCCATTCAAGGCTATAGAACCCAGTCTGCTATGCTATTAACCCGTAGCTGGGGGTCACATCATAGAAGAAAAGGATTCATACCTTACCCAAGGGTATTAGCACATAAGTTAATCTAATGGATTCGACAAGAACTGGAACTGGATGCCACCTGTGCTGCTCTGTAAGCTGCTGATAAAACTTTTTAAGAACCTGGGCGCAAATTTACTGTGGATAAACTAGCGATTAAAGCATTTTCTAAATATTTTCGTCATGCTGAATTGTTTTCTCTTTTAATTCGTGTAGCATTTATGTCAAAATTGTTACCAGTCTCATTAAGTTAAACAACTATTACGTTTAATTTTTTTTTTCAATGTCCCTTTTGTCTTCATATAATCTTTTATTTAAACCTCTTGAGGTTTCTCCAGTATATTATTCCTGGCAGTCCTTAAAGATAATGTTGTAAATTCCTCCTTCAAGTTTTAGCTTGTTTTGTTTTGTATTGATTTATTGATTTAGAGGTAGTTATAACAACATGTTGAGTTCAGATAAATTCTTTTTCAATTGTACTTCGGATATATTTATTGGTTAGAACAATATTTTTTTGATTCATTGGGTTTGTCAGGAGGGCCTGCTTTTCTATTTTCCTATTTTAGAATATTTTATGAGCCTTTGGTTTCGCATTGAATATGAAATAGGGTATTGTAGGGCCTTAAAATGTTTTCAATGTATTTCTCCCTTTCGTGTAAATATCAAGGGTTCCAGATTCTGAGTGCTCTTAAGTAGGAACTGTCATATTTATTATTCCCCCCATTTTTCAAACAGGTTTCTCGAAGACTTAATATGTGACAGTCTGATTCTTTCAAGAATTGTCAAAATGTTTGGAAGAAAATCTAATGCAAACATTTCGACTAATAGATGTGTTTCTATTGTTTGTTTTTTATAGTGAATATAAATATTATTCCTTATGCAAATATACCGTGTACATATGGCTTAATTGCACCAATACACACACACACACACACACACAGAGACACACACACACAGAGACACACACACACAGAGACACACACACATACTGTACTGTTCGATAAAAGTGACTCACCTGATTTTTGTTTAGCCAAAAGAAGAAAAAAACACCGAGGGAGTAACTTAAGAAAAAATGCTCAATACAGTACATAGAGCAAAACTGGAAAACCTAATTGAGCCAGAATATAAATATATATATTTAATTTTTTATTTTAAATTGTTTTTTTTTTTATATTTAAATAAAAATATTTGTTTATAATAAACAGTATTAAATAACATTTACCGGCCTGAATGTCCGAGAAATTTTCATAGAAAATATTCGTCCTTCGAAAATTTCTCGGACATTCAAGCCAGTAACTGTTATTTAATACTGTTTATTATAAACAGAGCATTTACTTAAATACTTGTATCAATAAAAAGAATGTTAAACATAAAAATGTCTTTAAATAATTGTCGGACTTTTTCCATTTCATATATATATATATATATATATATATATATATATAGTGCTGTTCGGTAAAATTAACACGATTAGCGCCCTTTCAGCAGAAGGGAGCAGACAAGACTCTAAAATTCTCTTGTACTGCTCGCTCATGAGGATCTTTTCAATAGATTTTAAGAAACCAGTTCCATGAAAAGAAAAGCATCCCTAGAGCATTGAACGAATACTGAACGGAGGCTTGACAGTACTTACTGCTAAATTCAAAGAGCTTTCAGAGCTTCTTCTTCGGATTTTAGATCGCTTATCCTTTGAATTTAGCTCAACTTTTATTTCATCGGAGAAGAGAACATTTAGTAAAAAAATCAGGAGAAATAATTTATCGAAAATGCACTATATATATATATATATATATATATATATATATATACAGTGCTGTTCGATAATATATATTAAAAACAACATTTACCGGCCTGAATGTCCGAGCAATTTTCATAGAAAATATTCGTCCTCCGAAAGTTGTTTAATACTGTTTATTATAAAACAGAGCATTTACTTAAATATTGGGATCTATAAAAAGAATGTATAAACATAAAAATGTCTTAAAATAATTGGCAGACTTTGTCCATTTCATTATATATATATATATATATATATATATATATATATATAATCGACTCTCCCGTCGAGATTCGAAGTATGAGGGTCAAGCAGATCAGTTTCCAGGAAACCGAGAGCCCGACACACATGGGAATTGATTATAGTGGTGAAGGCCTCGTGCAGGACCATCCACACTTTTTGAAGGGACGAATACAGAGACCTGGTGCACTAAGTGCCACAAGGTCCCCAAACGACCCTCCGCAGGTTTTGAATTCAGAGTTGTCCTTCTTCTAGACCAGTTGCCATCCTAGGCTATAGAACCCAGTCTCTCTCTCTCTCTCTCTCTATATATATATATATATATATATATACTGTAGGAAATAATCATACATTCTCTGGTTTAATTAACCTCTACAAAGGTGAAACTATTTAAGCTATCAGTGCATAGCATCCAATCTTTTTAGAAAGGGGCTTAAATAACATTTAAAATCGACTGATCCTAAGCTATTAGCCAACAAACAGATTAGCTAAAAATTTTAAGAAAATTTCGTTATTATTATTATTATTATTTTCTTTGATTTCTGGCGTTTACACATTTCTTTCCGGGTCCCGCCCAGGGACCTAAGGTTAGAAATGGCGTCATGACACTTTCCACTGACAAAAAAAAAAAAAAAAAAAAAAAATTACATAGATAAAGCCCTTCGTAAGGTGTGGCTGTACTTGTCAGAACAATTTTTGTATCTCCTTGATGCATGGACTTCCAGGAATCCCTTCAATTAGTCTACTGGACTCTTTTCCAACCAGTCCTAGGGCTCCAACTACAACAGGGATTGTTGATGTTCCCATATGCCACATTTTTGAGATTTCTGTTTCAAGGTCCTTGTATTTTGACAACTTTTTGAATATCTTCAAAGATACATTGCAGTCAGCAGGGACTGCCATGTCAATTTTTGTTTGTGGTCTTTAATAACAATATCTGGCCGGTTGGCCTTGATTGTTCTGTCAGTGTGTATTATTATTATCATTATTATTATTATTATTATTGGTGTTGTTGTTGTTGCTGTTGTTATTGAATATATCATAAAATGTATTCCGTAAAACGTTCTTTTGGCCTAAAGTGAGATTTTAAATTAGTTTCGAAAAAAAGCACGTAACTTTCAACTTTTACACGAATGGTGTCTGCAAATTCTTGTTTGGATGTTTTTTTTCTTTCGAGCGGCATATCAACCCCTAGGGGTTTTTTAATGCCGAAATTTAAGTATTTTGTGCTAAATTTTATTTTATTCTTTGAAGATAGTAATGGTTCAGTAATACAAGATTTCTTATTTAACCCATAATTGGGGGAAGATTCATATCTTTCCCAAGGGTAATTGTGCATAAGGAAATATAACGAAACCAACTGGAATTGGAACTCTGCTCTCCATTTTTCACTCCCCAGTTATTATCCATTACGCCACCCGCACATCCAAGCTTCCAGCACCTGATATTCTCAAGCGGTCGCCCATCTAGTTATTGTCCAGGCTCGACGTTGCTTAACTTTGATCGTAATGGAAACGTTTTAAGTCCCAAACTTTTGGCCTATGAAATATATATATATTGGTTCTTCTCTTCATATTCTTTATTTCGACAAACACTCTGTACCCAATATTGGGCTTTCTTTCTTCATAGAATTTTTTTTTTATTGTGGTTACATAAACATTTCTACTTGTAAATGTGAATATATACTGAGGTATTTTAAGTGTTTTTATTTATAGCGCATATAAATATGCTTCTCTATTCAAATATGCCGCGTACATATGCCTTACGTACACCAACACACACACACAAACACACATATATATATATGAATTATGATATAAAGTACTTTCATGGAATCCATTTTTGTTCTTAGGAGATATACAGGTATAAAGAGATATGCGTCACTGTCAATACAACTCGTCACACTTTTGTTTTATTGCCTATCTTCCTGCTAGGAGGCGCTGTTTTATATTCTGCTCAATTGTTGTTTTTACCAAAACACAAAAATGGCCGCCAATGCGACATGGACTATATTTATTCCTTTTCACAGCACACGGCTTCTCTCTCTTTTCTGTCATCCGTTCTACCCCTGTTCCGTTCTTCTGCCCCCGGCGCTGATTCGTTTGCCTCCTGCCCCAGCCAAAATTTGATTTATTCATGAACTCAGAAACAAGGTTTTCGTCCAAATGATGTTCGGATTTTAGAATGAAGTAAAGGATAGAAATAACTCGAGTGGCTTATATTTAATTTCCAGCTTTCGTTCATTCCTCATCTTCGACATAGAAGTTTCTTTTCTTTCGACGAATGTCCCATCTCTTTTCTTTTTCTTTTTTTTTTTTTTTTCGTTATGTCCCGTTTTGCCTCTTTTTAAATTTATATATTCACTTTTTTCTTTTTACAGGGAAACCTTTTTTTTTTTCTTTTTTTTTTACCTTTTCTTTTTCTTTCTTTCGAATATTTTACTTTCTTTTTTTTCTTTTTTTTTGTATTCTCTATTTTTTCCGCAGTGATTTTTATCTTTATTTCTTCCTTGTTTTCTCTTCCCCCTCTTTCCTTCATCCCTTCCTTCCTTCATTCCTTCCTTTCTTCCTTCCTTCATCCCTTCCTTCCTTCCTTCCTTCCTTCATCTCTTCCTTCCTTCCTTCCTTCCTTCCTTCATCTCTGCTTTCCTTCCTTCCTTCCTTCCTTCCTTCCTTCCTTCCTTCCTTCATCTCTTCTTTCCTTCCTTCCTTCCTTCCTTCCTTCTTTCTTTTTAGCATTATTTTCCTTGTTTCGAATTTCTTTCTTTCTTTCTTTTTTGTATTCTGTTCACCGTTTTTTTATTATTTATTCTTGTTTTTTTATTCGTCCCCACCATTTTCTTTTTTTCTTTCTTTCTTTCTTTCTTTCTTTCTTTCTTCAGCTCTTTTTCTTTTGCTGTTGATTTAACATACTTTCTTTTTCTAACTTCCTTCTTCCTCTCCTTATTTCCTTCAATCTTTAATTTGTTTCCATTCTTCATTTCTTTATTCATTTGACGTACTTTCTTTTATTAGCTTTCCTCTTTCTTTCTTTTTTGGATTGTCTTTTCTTTTCATCAGTTTTTTTTTACCTTTAATATTTTTTTCTTTTCTTTTCTATTCCTCCTTTCTTTCTTTCGTTCCTTTCCTTTTAATATCCTTCTTTTTTCTATCCTTCTTTCTTCCTTACTACATCCATTTATCTTTTTTTCTTTCTTTCTTTCTTTGGGTTATTCAAAATAAGCAGCATTCTTTCTTTTCTTCTTTTTTGATGACAAGCTATTCTTATTCCTTTTTCCGACACATTTTTCTTCTTTTTAGTTTTTTATCCTTCCTTTTATTTTATTTACATTTTTATTTTTCGCCTTTGGCTTCTGATATGATTTCATTTTTCTGTCCGCAAACCCAGACGGACAATATTCTTGGCAATCTACAAATGTCTGAAGCTATCTATGCAACTGCATCGAAGTCAATACCAGACGTACATATATATTACCGGAGAGGATTAAAAAAAAAAAAAAAAGCTTAGAGACGAAGAAATAAAGAATTATATATCGGAAGCACTACACTTGATGCCATATAGGTGAGGCTCCTCTCTGCATTCGTCAAAGAATACTATTACTATGGAATTAACTATAGACCTGCCACTATATTTCTTAGAATTTAACATTTTAACTGACTGTATAATCCGGCATTTATACCGACTGTATAATCCGTTATTAATACTGGCTGTGTAGTCCAGCATTAATACCGACTGTGTAATCCGGCATTAACAGTGACTGCGTAATCCGGCATTAATACAAACTGTATAATCCGGTATTAATACCGAGTGTGTAATCCGGCATAAATACAGACTGTGTAATCCAGTATTAATAATGATTATGCCATCCGATATTAATACAGACTGTGTAATGCGGCATTAATACCGACTGTGTAATCCGGCATTAACACCGGTTGTGTAATACAGACTGTGCAATCCGATATTAATACCGACTGTGTAATCCGGCATTAATACAGACCGTGTAATCCTGCGTTAACACCGACTGTGTAATCCGGCATTCATATAGACAGAGCAATCCGGCATTTATACAGACTGGGTAATCCGGCATTAATACAGACTGTGTAATCCGGCATTAATACTGACTGTGTAATCCGGCATAAATACAGACTGTGTAATCCAGTATTAATAATGATTATGCCATCCGATATTAATACAGACTGTGTAATGCGGCATTAATACCGACTGTGTAATCCGGCATTAATACAGACCGTGTAATCCGGCGTTAACACCGACTGTGTAATCCGGCATTCATATAGACAGAGTAATCCGGCATTTGTAATCGTTACAGACTGTTGTAATCCGGCATTAATACAGGCTCACGGCATAAATACTAATCCGGCATTAATATTAACTGTGTAATCCGGCATAAATACAGACTGTGTAATCCAGCATTCATAATGACTATGCCATCCGATATTAATACCAGACTGTGTAATCCGGCATTAATACCGACGGTGTAATCCGGTATTAATTATTGAGCATTACCTATAGTCCGAACCTTTTGGGATCTTGTGGCACACGGTGCACCAGGTTTCTCTATTCGGTTCTTCAAAAAGTGGGGTTGGTTCTGCACATATGTGCAGGTTGTCTGGCTATCGGTTCCTAGGAACTTAGGTGCCTGAAGTATGGTTTTATATCTATATAAGTAAAATATTTTCATAGACGTAAAACAATATACATGCATATCCACAGTTAGCCTGTTTAGCTACATCACAGCTCATCAGTGTGACCACACATCCGATTGCTGTAAGCCGAGATCGAAACTCGACCGCTTTGGCACCCGTTAGAGACTCTACTCCTAAGCTATCGATGCACAGCAATGGAAAAAATATCTTTCAACATATTATATACACGTGATTTTTACGAACGCTAGACCAGCCAACAGAGCGCGCAATTCTGATATATATATATATATATATATATATATATATATATTTAACCTGTCATATATATATATATATATATATATATATATTTAAAAGTGAACATTGAAGTGTGATAAAATACATAATAAATAGAATAATAAATAAAACAAATAAGAAACGTATCTCAATGTAACATGTTTCAATTTTATTAAATCATCTTCAGAGATCGAGATAGAAATGAAAAAAGCAAAGAGACATGGTATGCTATTATTTTGGGTTAGTTCTTATTGGCCAGATACGTGTCACGTGATTTTAACGCAATCGATAAAATATGTTTGATGAGAATTTTGAACGTTAAAGTGTGTACATTATTTTCATTATTCGGACGATTGTCCTCGTCTTTGTCGCCATATTTATGACAACGTTTCGGCCATTGTACGCTCCAGCCTTCTTCAAAATGTCGAACTGAACCCTTTACTTCGCTCACTGGGGTAGACTGTTCTACTTCCACGTGCCATGTTTTAATGGATGTCAGTTATCAGTTATCTCCTGTTACATTCCCTCTGAAAGTTCTCCACTGCCTTAGCCGGGTATTGAACTCACACTCTTTGGATCCTGTTACTGGATCTAACTAACGCCTCTATCCACTGTGCCATGTGTCCTTGAGTGTGAGTTCAATACCCGGCTAAGGCAGTGGAGAACTTTCAGATTGACCGAGGAAGACAGTTCTCAATGGGATGATTAAAAATATCCATCCAAGTGACATTGCGAAGAAAATAACAAAATGAATCCCAATCAGTGCATTAATAACAGAAACATGTTCTGTTAATAGGCAGTTCTTGCCTGATGGGAGAGCAGATATCTATAGACACTACTGTGTGGTTTAGAGTTGACAAGAGGACAGAGCTGCAGAGCACGACATGAGATCAGAGAGCAGGTAAGGAAGAGTCCAAAGACGTGTCTCTGTGAATTATGAGGGAAACAAGTAGGGAAATTTACTATTTGAGAGATTGATCAATTGAGAAGTCCAAAGTATGTATCCCAGCGAGATTAGAAGCATTAGAGTGATGAGGCCACTTGATATGATGGTCATTGAAGTTGTCGAACAAAGATATTTAGACGAGTGTAGAGAGAGAGAGAGAGAGAGAGAGAGAGAGAGAGAGAGAGAGATCATTGTATTATTGTAGATTATTGTATCAGAAATTCTATCTAGCAAACAATGGTCATGAGTGGAAGGGGAATAATAAAAGTAGAAGAGAAATCTCCCACACATATCTCCCAGAATTACCCCCACATAATTTTAAGACATTATTGGCAATGGTGTCTTCAGCTAGCTAACATTTTATAATTATGTGGAAGGTATTTCTACCATAGCCTGTATAATGTGTCAATCGATTGACGGCTATCTACACTAGAATTTGAATTGATGTTCTTTCTGCTCTTAGTCTCCTGTTTGTTCTTCCACGTGGAGGTATTTCCGCATTCACCCTGTATAATTCCATCATTTTCATTTATATCTTAGATTTATTTATTTGTCTTGTATATTATTTCTTTTGTCCATTTTCCTTCTTATTTCCTTGCTGTCGTGAAATCCTCGATGCCAGCTTTCTCAATGGGATGATAAAAATATCCATCCAAGGGGCATTGCGATGGAAATGAAGAACTGAATCACAGGCATTGATAACATAAACATGTTCTGTTAATAGGATGATCTTGCCTGATGGGTGAGCAGATATCTATAGACAACTCTGCGTGGTTGAAGTTGACAAGAGGACAGAGCTGCAGAGCATGACATGAGATCAGGGAGCAGGTAAGTATGAGACAAAAGAAGTTCAAAGTATGTATTCCAGCGAGATTAGTATCATTAGAGTGTTGAGGCCACTTGATATGATGGGCATTGAAGCTGTCGAACAAAGATATTTAGACGAGTGTAGAGAGAGAGAGAGAGAGAGAGAGATCATTGTATTATTGTACCAGAAATTCCATCTAGCAAACAATGGTCATGAGAGGAAGGGGAATAATAAAAGTAGAAGTGAGATCTCCCACACAATTCTCCCAGAATTACCCCCACATAATTTTAAGACATTATTGGCAATGGTGTCTTCATCTAGCTAACATTTTATCATTATGTGGGAGGTATTTTTAAAATAGCCTGTATAATGTGTCAATCGATTGACAGCTATCTACACTAGAATTTGAATTGGTGTTCTTTCTGCAATTAGTCTCCTTTTTGTTCTTCCGCGTGGAGGTATTTCCGCATTCACCCTGTATAATTCCATCATATTCATTTATATCTTAGATTTATTTATTTGTCTTGCATATTATGTCTTTTGTGCATTTTTCTCTTATTTCTGTGCTGTCGCAAATCTTTGATGCCAGCTTTGAGCGAGGAAGACATTTCTCAATGGGATGATTAAAAATATCCATCCAAGGTGTTATTGCGAAGAAAATAACAAAATGAACCCCAACCAGTGCATTGATAACAGAAACATGTTCTGTTAAAAAGATGATCTTGCCTGATGGGAGAGCGGATATCTATAGACACTACTGTGTGGTTTGGAGTTGACAAGAGGACAGAGCTGCAGAGCACGACATGAGATCAGGGAGCAGGTAAGGAAGAGTCCAAAGCCGTGTCTGTGTGAATTACGAGAGAAACATGTAGGGAAATCTATTATTTGAGGGATTGGTTAGTTGAGAATTTCAAAGTATGTATCCCAGCAAGTTTATTAGCATAAGAGTAATGAGGCCACTTGACATAATGGACATTGAAATTACCAAACACACTAGATATTTAGACAAGATAGTAACTTACCTGTTGTATCAGAAATTCTATCTACCAAAAAACGGTCAAGAAAGGAAGGAGAACGATAAAGGAAAAAGAGAGACCTCATGCCACATACCTCCCAGAAATACTTCCCACATAATTGTAAGACATTATTGGCAATGTTGTTTTCATCTAGCTAACATTTTATCATTATGTGGGAGGTATTTCTAACATAACTAGTATAAGGTGTCATTGGATTGACAGTCATCTACACTAGAAATTGAAGTTCTTTTTGTACTTTGTGGATTGTTCTTCCACGTGGAGGTATTTCCGCCTCACCCTGTTTAATTCCATCATTTTCATTTATATCTTAGATTTAGTTATTTGTCTCGCGTATTATTTCTTTTGTGTATTTTGCTTGGCATTTCGGTGCTATGGCGAAAGCATGGATTCCGGCTTTGATCAACTGGATGATTATTTCTTTTGTGCGTTTTGGTTTAGTCATAAGTCATGTTATTTTGGAATAAAATTATTTACATGTAAGTTACAGATTTTATTTACTCTTTTTAATCATGATATAGTTGTAGGAATTTGATTTCGTGCCCACATTTGGAAATGTAATTATTACTATTCTCTCAGAGGTTAAAACGTTTCAGGTGTTGTTGTAAGCTGTTGTTCTTTTACTTATTTTTCATGTTATTTTTACTGCGTTTTTGTTTGTGACTTTGAATTGCCATACATGCTTTCATGGAGCTGTGCTGTGTCTTTTTTTGTGTGT